TTGATTAATGTCGATTTTGTAAACGATAATGAATTTTCTATGGGACTATTTATGGTGATGACAAAAAATTCAGACCAGTTATGTTGAAATATATTTGAATGAATTCATGAGTTGATTTAAGCTAGACTATCATTGAAAGTCTAGAAGTACTGGACTGCCATTTCGTCTTAGTATGTGACTCCTCAACAGCGCTTATTCACAATCCCGCACGTGGGACTACTACTATCTCCACAAACTCACTATTCTGATATATTAAGATGATTAAGAAAGAAGAACCGATAGTAAGTCTTGAAAAACTAATAGATTTTCTAAAAACCACTAAAGTCTAAGAGGTTTCATTATTTCTATTGTGAAATCCCACTGAATTGTACAAACTATCATATGATGATTGTCTAAAAAGTGACTTCAAAATCATAAGATAATGTTAACGTTGCTGTTGCCTTGTTTATTCATTATAGTTTAACCGATCAAACTAATAATTTATGAATTATATGTATATATATTCGAATAATACAGAATTATAAACATTATCTGTTTAGCTTAATTGATTCTTTAATTTCGATCTAATTCTATGAAACGATTGATCTGAATTTGATTAGCTTCTCATTTTGTATCGGTGCATTCCATGTTGATAATAAGTAAAACTATTTTCTCAAAAGGCATGTCAATTTTGTTAGTTGTATATAGTTATGTGATTGCAATAATGAATCAATATCATACCTTTATCAATGAAAAAATACAAATTGAGCACAGAAACACATATATAAATTAAGTCAATACAAGTAATCTTATGTCAGTTAACGACACCACCTACATTTAAATTTGGTATTCTTGTTGTAGAACAAATGAAAATCTAGTTTCAAATCATACAATGACTTGGGTTAAACAAAGAAAACATTTTCCACACACTTTTACACTAAAAAAACTGTAATATGAAGACTAGTGACTAACTTTGAGAGACATTACTCAAAATTCTAGTGAGAAACTGTGTTAAGCGGATTTCAACACTGAAGGGCGTTAAATGGATATGTTTGTTGGCAATGGATGACGATTAAGGATATCTTCAACTAACTGAGGTTAGAAATGAAACCCATTGAATCTCAAATCAGTGGCCTAAAAGTCAAACAGTTTTTGCAAAACCCGTAAGCACAACATTCGATCCTTGATGTGATCGTCAATACAAACTGTCAGGGACTATCAACACTAAGAAAAAATAGTTGTCCATCTTCCTAATTTTAAATGCTTGTTTGGTCAAAACTAGTCCCCGATTTAAAACTACAAAATTAAACATTTTCCACAACTGTCTATCCTAAAAAAACAGGTATGTTGATGTAAATTATTCCTTAAATAAAAATCACGAATAGAACAATCGCGTTATCGATCGAAATTGATCGATTATAGATAAAACTTAACGATAGTAATAATAATAATAATAATAATAATAATAATAATAGAATTCATGCTGAAATTGTACAAATTAAATTATAATGACAGAAATAGTTGCGGTGCATTCAGACATATGAGGGTTGAATACATATAAGTGTATCGATTTATTTTATAAATTTAAGGTGATAAAATTTACGCATAGATATTAAAATTATTCAGAGAAATGCATGGAAATATTCATTTTATATCATACTACGTTACTTAAACTATATCACTCAGTCCGTTAATGACTCATATTGAAACAGTTCCTTGAAGTTTTAATGAGAATTCATGACTAATGGAATTCGGATATGACTAAAGTACTCCCTAATAAATAGTAATAGATATTAATCATGCTATTTAATGGATTATTTGAAGTTGAAAACATGTACCAGTAGATGCTAGCTTAACTCTTCTGACAGTTAAGTAGTCACCCCCAGCTGTAAAAGTTATAGATACATGGGAATGTATGCACACACTGATGAGGAGCTCCACATTATAATTTGGTTTAAAGTAATACTCCGATTAAGTTCGATTCATAAGGTAAACCACATAAAAATGGATAGAATTGATAGATACACTTATATTTTGCATAAAAATATTTATTTCTATGGAAGATTATATGACATAAATACAAAAATATTTTTCTATATGTCCATGACATTGTTATTCATGTTATTGTGAATTTTATTTACTAATCAAACTACTTAACCTTCATATTACTTTACATTTTTGTATTGAATACATTCGAAAAATTCACATATTTAAGTGAAGATAAATTCTGAATGAAGACGTTGATAAGGTAAAGGTTGAGAGTGGGAAATCGACTGGAAGCACAAGTTGGATGGAAACAAGCTAAAAAAAAAATGAATTTCTCATCTCCTACTAGACTAGAACAAGATAAATGGACTAAAATATTCATCAAAAGGAAATACTACTGAATTTATCGTACAACAATGTTTATTCGTTTGTTTCAATAAATATTTAGTATTAATTACATAATTAAGATATTACTTAAATGAAAGAAAAAGGAGAGAAGAAAATATTTCATAAACCGAATGAAAGATATCAATCATGTGAAGCACTAGTTTCAACCAACATAAAATCTATTTTTTTTTTAAATATTGTAATTTTATTGACTGAATTAACATAAATCAACGCACAATTTAGCTCTATGCTGTGTTCTTTCATTCTCGTTGTTGGTAATTTGAAGAAAAAAAACACTGAAATATTGTTGGATAAATCACCATAATCTTATACCATCATTTAGTGTATGTTATTATTTTCACTTCCTCATTGAAATATTAATGATCAGAAGGGGTTTTGTGAAAATTGTAGTAATTTCAATAGTTGAGATCATAAATCAATTGAAGTTAAACCACCATGGAAAACCTGGAAGCATTGTATAGCCGTTTCCTCCTATTGTGGGACTCCTCAACAGTGCGAATACACGATCCTGCCTCGCGGGATTCGAACCCAGGGCCTATCAGCCCCGCGTGCGAGAGCTTAACCACTAGACCACTGAGCTGGCCGGCATCCAACGGTGTTAATGTCTAACTTCAACTAATCCACGAAATTAATCTACAAAACCTTTTTCAATGTAAAAACTCTTATTCTATAAAAAAAACCATGTCTTTTGGTCTTCTCATTGTTGGTGAGTAATAATAATAATGATTACGCAGTTTCCGGTTATGTAGAAAACAAATTGTAATGGTAGCAGTGATAATAATAATAATGATAATAATAATAATGTTCCAACTCTCTATTAATTGTTCCTCTGAGTGATTGATTGATGAAATCAATATGAATGAGATGAAATAATTTATTAAAACCAACACTTGTTTAAATGAAATGATCTATCATTGACCTTGCCTAATTTATTCGGTTACTTCTCATAAAATGTAAAGTGAGAATAAAATGGAAAAGGGGAAAGATACAGAGAAAAACAAAATAAGGTACATTTGCGTTTGATCATATGTGTGTGTGTGTACCTTTTAAGAAGAAATGGAATGAATATCAATGAATAAATAAATAACAACCGTTATTATTTATGAATATATAAAACTGTAATGTTGTAATTTCCTTTCCGTGTAGTCACTTATAAAAAAATCCCGTCTATATTATAAACAAAGATTTTGTTATTATTGGCATTATTACTGGTACAATAATAATAAATACTACTACTACCACCGGTATTTTTCTTTTCAGTAGTATTCAGATAAGTTAAATTTTGATCTGCCGACTACTGACGTAAAAACAATCACGTTTGTATTCAGAGAATTACGTGTGGTGGTACTTTTTGAACGTCAATCAATATATCACTGACATTGATTGAATCATGTTTAATGTATGGTAAAATATTTAATCAATAAATATACATATATACATAAAACAAATAAAATCTAACTGACAAACTATCAAAAACATCATCTTGATCAGTAACACTTTGGTACTTTTAAAGTGATTTATGGTGATTTAGAGTGATGTTTGGGAAACCGACATATTAGTTTTCGAATACATGAATTCATTACCAAGTAATATTACTGACAACTATAATTTGTACTAATGTAATTACTACTAAAATAATAACAAACATTTAATACAATCAAAGTACAGTAATGAAAACTTATTAGTTTACGTCATTATCTATTTACAACTTAATTTGTAATCATTGTACTTTTTCTTCTCTCTCTCTGTATACGAGTGTACATTCAAGATATTGTTTTGATTTGTATAAAATGTTTGTGTCTATACTTTTCTTGTCATTCTTTTTTTTTAAAATAAATATCTCCGTTCAGTTGTGTTAACATCAGCAGTAATTCACATGACTATTATTTACTAAAAATGAACGTTATTTCCATTGTATACGAAAGGTTATTCAGTTACCGGTGAATAATTACTGTGTGTACAAACACATATGCACATGCACACAAAAAAAATAAGGGGGGGGAGGGAAGAGTACAAAAGAAAAAATAACAAACAGTTGTTGTAAGGTTGATTGAAATTTTCTACCGACTAGATTATGTGATGATTATGTTCACTCCAACTTAATCAGTTCAATGGGATTAGAAAATAGTGTCAATACAATTTATTCTTTACTGTTATTTCTAGCTAATCAATTGTTAATATTTGTAAGGGTATTAGGTGTTAATAAACATTTAATAAATAGTGTAAGTTTATATTAGCAAATACCTATTGAGCATATGATTGATTATCGTAACTACATTTCTGAATCAGTAACACTTTGGTACTTTTAAAGTGATTTATGGTGATTTAGAGTGATGTTTGGGAAACCGACACATTAGTTTTCGAATAGATGAATTCATTACCAAGTAATAATAATAATAGTAATAATAAGCAATCAATACATCTACTATCTCTGTCTGCAATCGACTTGTCGTAGTATTTGGCAAACAAATAATTATGTATATTGGATGGAAACTGATTTCGGAAAAAGATGATATTTTCGTTGTGTTTTCAGGAAATTATATGAATTGAAATTAAAACGCTACAGAGAAAAAAAAACCCTTGAATTACAAAAAACAAAAACAAAGAACTAATGGTCTTTTACTTACCCCGACATTTGGTGTCCTCATCAGTGGCTGCTTTTACTGATTTGATTTTTGTTTGATCCGGTGGCAATTGCCATAATTGTTCATCATCAAAATTTTCTGGTAATCCTTTTATGTATAAATTCGTTCTTGACATTTTCTCAGCTCCTGTACCCGCATTGCCATTTTGATGTAATTGTGATTGATGATGATGAGGATGATTGTGTGTGGAATAATTGGTTTTTGAAATTTTCTTGCCAAATTGATTAACACCACCTCCATCTCGATCTCCATCACTACCACTAACACCACCACCTGTGATACTATTACTACTGCTATGCTGATCCGATGTCATTGTAATATCATTCATACTACTCATTGTTGTATTTACGTTTATACTAGCTGGCTTTGGATTATTGTTATTATTATTGGAACATTGAATGGATTCATTAGATAAATATCCCCTAAGACCACCATTTTGTTCAACACAATCCGCTAAATCTTTCATTGATTCTGTACGATTTTGTTCAATTGAATTAGGTGAACGCATTTTAGTTGTTTGTTGTTGTTGTGGGCATGGATCAGGATAGATGTATGTTTCATTCGATGTTGGCATGTGATAATGATGAGGAGTTTTAATTAATCAAACGAAGTAATCAGTGAAAAAAAATTGTGTTTTTTTTGTTGATGTTCCAATAAACTTAATTCCTTTCTTTGATATTTCCAAAAATAATATGAACCATGAAAATAAGTTCTCGAATGCAGAAAAAAATGATCTAAATTCTTCTTTAAAGAAAGATGTACAAAGTTAAATCTTCCAATACCTGAGGATTTACTGTAGATGTATTTGTTGATGTATTGTGTGTATACACGTGTCGTTATGTATCCTAATAATAAAAAGTTGATTTGAATAAGATGACCTCAATTTTAATGCGTCACAATAGTTAACCTGTTTTGACGTAATTGTAATAATATTCAAGACTAGTCACAGTTTCCAATCTCTTACTCATAATATAACAAATAAAACTATTTCAAACGAGCACACTTTCTATACGAGAATATGATATGTTTGTCTATCTATCAATATATATTTGGCTTGAATTCACTTCTGAATTTATGCCGTACTATTTAATATCTTAATTCATATGCACATAAACCAATACACATTATTCAAAGAGAATTGTGTACCTGTTTTAAATAACCATTCAAATGAGATATATCCACTATCACATAAAATGAAATGAGCGATATACGGACAGAGGAGATAGAGATGTAGAAGAGTGAATAGACAAGTAAATTTATATCTTTGGTCTAAGTTGATGATTTCAAGAAGAAAAAAAAATGCAATTAGTAATAATGACTATATCCATGACGTACTAGTTTTTTTTCATTTTTTTTTTACCTAAACATACATACAATTTGCATGTCGTTATGTTTATATTACAAATGATAAGCGAACAACTAAATCATAATAAGAAACAATCATTCTTATTGGTCTATATGTTTTAGGGAATGCCACTTCTTTTTTTTTTTTGTACATTGAATATTTCTAAACAACATCTAACACATTCTATCAACAAATATATAAATATATTCGATTACTGTGTTTTATCCCAACAGTTATGATGATAATGAAGATAGAAATGATTTACGAGGTTAATGCAAGTGTATGATTGACAGGAATTTCATCTATTGTACACTACAATAATGAGGTAAACAGACATATTCACACATACGAATGTATATTTATATGTGCACACACATACACACATAGTAGAAATTCTAATTTGGTAATTTCATATGCGATGATTTTCTTTGTTTCTATTCCCTATGACTATGTTAGAGGAAACAAAATAGTTAAACTATAAAGCTATTTTAAATTTTCATTATGAAATATCGATATAAAAGTAACTGTAGACTATAAGATATAACATAACTTGAGCATCGAAATAAAATAGAAGATATAAAGTAGTGACTAATGTCATGTACGTTCTAGTCCCTTAAATTGCTAATTTCAAATTCTAATCTAATTCTAGTTATCAAGTGAAATAGTATGAAATGTAGGTTCAAAGTTTCTTTCTGACTATCTTCACCCATCTCACGTCTTAATATAGTGCAAACGATATCAGGTAACTTAGACTAATAGTCACATTATGACTCTTAATTGACAGAATTCAATCCGAACTAGATAATCATGACATTGATCAATCAATTAAATATATTTCTCAGTTAATTGTAACCTGAATAATTCATGAGTAATGTCTCAAATTGTGAAGCTAAGTGATTGGGAAACGAATCCTCAGGTATATCGTACTGAAGATTCCCGACTAACCTAGGTTCAGGATTTCTTGTCGACTACTTCAAACTATCTAACACACTTATTATGTATATTTTATTCATTTTGAATAATAATACTAATATTAACATAATCAGATTTGAACGAACTGCAGCTTAGGTGAATTCATCACTAATCACTAAGTCATAACTTATCACTTGACTCGATTTGTTAATACCGAAATCTTAAAAAATGTTACCATGAATAAAAATAACTTACTGAGCGTTATCTCCTTGATCTTATAAACGTATGAATACGGAATTGAATAGAATTGTTTCGACAAGGTGGAAATAAATTTTTAATAACTAAATTGAATTTTTGTTTCTTTCGAATAATGAATAAAATTGCCACTTAATAGTAACACTATTCGATTTAAGCTTTGAACTATCATAAGAATAATTAAAACACGTAGTATTTAATGGCAAATATCGAGATTTGGATTTTAATTGGCAACATTGAAATACAAATATATTCATTTGACATGTATTAATGCTAGCAAGGATTCATGGAGGCCTTCACTGACACATGAATTCATTGTGCAATCATTTTCCAATTCTGTACGCAATTTAGAAATGAATTCAATAATTTCCGTCACATCTCCATAGTATGGATGATTCAGAAAACGTGTGTGTGATTTGTCTATAAATTCAAACTGATTCTTTTTAAAACACTGCTGTTGTCGCTGATATAGTAACTGCGATTGATCGGAAGGGAGAGCCATTTTCTATTTCTTTATGAATCATCATGGTAATGAAAAATACTGTATGAGTAATTAACAACCAATGTCGTTCAAGGATACCGATGACCATTCTGTATGTTGATTGTCCGAAATAGTTACACTGATTTTCGTCTAATTACTGGTTGAACTTGATTCCTTTGTTTCAACCCCATCGCTACTGATACGTCTTGTCGATTTAACGCTACTTGTTATATCTGGTCTTCGCTAATAGTTGTGTTGGAAACGCTTATCACTTATACTCGAAACGAAGGACTTCTTCAGTTGCCAAGACGCGAAATTAAGAACACAAAGACTGATATAAGTGATGGTTTATTAACCCCCGAAACACTATGACGACGACCCTAGTCGAAAACACATTCATTTATATATTAATTGTACACACACTTTGATGAATAATTAGGATGAAATCACATATATGAAACATACTTAGAGTTATAACAAATCATATGCTGAGCATAGTTCATGTCCATTGAATACAAGAATACAGTATGTTAGAGAGAATAAAATGTCATACGGGAAAACTAAACCAAATGCTACACTGAATAATCATCACATTGAATTAAAGAGGAAATAATGTTGAATAAACATCATAATGAGTAAATCAACCTAATTTTGACTTTTCTTCCCATCATATAACAATCAAATTCTGCTTCAAAAATGCTTGTGACTTAATGATAATAATGAGGCATCCTTACAGGATGTACATATTCCAAAAAGAGACTGATCAATTGAGGTCGTAAACGTCAATGAATTTACTTTTCTGTTCAATAGTTTATCTGCCTTTCTCTATAGATAAGGTTCACCGCGTCATTCTTTTTTTTCAGATACCCAATGTCTTTTCTTTAGTCAATGTCACATTGAGTTACTTCCTCTATTCTATTATGTGTTTATCGCCATTTTGGGCCTGACATTTTTCGAAAGGATATCTATCTATCTATCTATCTATCTATCTATCTATCTATCTATCTATCTATCTATCTATCTATCTATCTATTTCCAAGTGGATAAACCAATAAATGTGGTAAATAATGATTACTGTTCTATAAAAATCAATATGAATATCTAGGTTCTCTGTGATAAATTTTGAACAAGATAAGAACAGAACTGAATAGAAAGTGAATCAGCATAAGAAAGAAGTAGAAGCAGTAGTTTTCATTTGAATGTAAGCATGATCTCATTATACATTATATAAGTAGGATTAGCGTAAAATACTATTAGGTGACATATTAAAGTGAATTAACATGACAATCAATCCCTCGAATGGTTGTTATATAAATCCACAATTAATATAAGACAGTTTCATGTGGATAGTTCTATGTCTTAAAATGACCAAATCATTCCATCTAATATTTAGTTAAATGCTGTAATTCTTTAAAACTATATTCTAAATAATCGAAGTTTCAATGAATAATAACAGTAATAATGACAGTAATAATGTATGTAGCATTGAGATTAAAAGCAAAAACTGGTGAAACAGTGAGTGATTTAACAAGATTCGATGTTATACTAAAAATGTGGAGTAAGAGGATTATAAACCAGAGAGTTAGAATTTATTTATTATGTTAAGGTGACTCGTGGTGATTGATCATTCAACTTTATGATCATTTACATTATGAACTGCCTCCAGTTAAACCAATTAGTTACTTCCATTAGGGAGTTCCAAAATTCTCTTTGGAAAAGTCAGTAAGGGCCGAGGAAACACAAGGAAACATTTTGTCAAATCGGGATGGAATAGAAATTTCTCTGGAGCAACTAGAAGGACGACAAATCATTTTCCATCTTTTTGATCGAATGATTATCTTCTTACTGCTAATATTTGTTTTTCTTCTAGCACTGTCTAGACGACCAAGGTCACTTTAAATGGTATGACTACGCACAATTATCTGTTCATACATTTATCTTGGAGTAACGTTCTTCTTTATACTTCACGCCTTTTCTCTTGCATTCAAGTTACCGTGTAAATTTAGTCTGCCGTAATTAGGAGCGACTCGGAAATTTGATCGAGCATTCAATATATCGATTTATCAGTTTTATTGTAGTATGAGACTCCTATTCTCAGTGGCAATCACCTATGAACATGATTGAGTTATAGCCAAACACTGAGTTGATATTCCGATCATTGTGTTGTTAATCACAAAAAATTGATGAAGTTTTCAAAATGAAGTTATGTATTCAGTCTGAATATATAACAAAACTATAGTCACCATGGCAACTAGGGTTTCAACATGTCTTCCTTTTTTGTCGATAACAATAAAAATTAAAGTAATTCTACTGAGCACTGATTGTAATTATGTTCTCCTAGTCTTCAGTATTGTCTATATTCAAGACGACTATATGATCGTTAGGTGAAGTGACTGATTATCATATTGAACTTGGTTTAAATGTTTCGGGGCTGGAGACGACGAACTGTTAAGCCTGATTATTTCCAATGACAAAACACACCAGTGGTTTCACACGATTGTTGGAAGTGATATTCAAACACTTACTGTACACACTAATAAATTACAAAATAGAATTTGGCGCCGTTCAATATCAAAAATTATTTTCACAATTTATGGTGACCACTTACTTTATTTTATTCTTCAAATTTCATGTACAAAGATCAAACTATATTCGCCTTTTATTAATTGAAAAAAAAGAAACAAACTGAGCATTTTCCTTTTTTCTTAAAAGGAAAACAGTAATTCCTAGACCAGTTCAATGATTTTCAATGTAGATCATCAGTAGTTCGGGGATACAAGAGAGGGAAATAGAGGTGATATTAAGTAATGCACAAATTGGTACATTCTAAAAATCTCTTTTATGAATTTGTAGCATAGAATGAATCAATGTACTAATTATCTATTTTAATCGTTAAATTCATGAGTCGATATAAACTAGACCACCATTGCGAAGCTGGAAACACTGGTCTAGTGGTTAAGCGTTCGTTCATGAGACCGGAGGTCCTGGGTTCCAGTCGTGCATGTAAGCTCGTGAATGCACATTACTCGGCAGTCCCATACTAGGACGAAACAGTAATCCAGTGCTTACAGGTTTTCAATAATGGTCTAGCTTAGATCGACTCATGAATTCAACTATTGAAATTACTACAATATCAATTCACTGGAGAGCTATCGAATATTTTTCAAGTTATCTGATCACATTTATTTTTCCAGCATTTCTCATATAGATCTTGAATAAACATTTTTAAAAATATGGTCTAGAAAATTTGTATTCGTTCTATCCGTTAAACTGAAATTAAATTGATTTGACTGAGCGACGAATCATCACAAAAATCAAATTGTTGACACAATGCCCTCACTCTTTTAAATACTTAGTTAATTAATTACGGGGAGTAGCATAGGTCGTCCACCAGTATTCTCAATCCAACACTGTCCTGAGAAATCTCTTAAAGTTATTCCCAGTTGCTATTCTTCTTTCCAATGTCTGTTTCCAATTCCGGACACGGTGTGTTCTTTCATCTCTCACTTCTTCTCTTTCATTC